TTGTTATATGTGTCTCATGCTGGAACTCGGATGTATGGAGACAGAGAGCTGAGTGTGGACGGAACTGGAAACAAATAAGGTTCAACATGGAAACAGAACAGGTTCATGCAAATATGATGAGCTCTGAGAGTATGGATTTCTATAAGTCTCTCTCTCTCTCTACGTTACAGGGGATTTTTCTCCGGTTTAAATATTCAAATGATGAAATATTCAAATCGATCATTTCTTGAGTTGCCTGTGTTGGCCAAACATCGTCATTTGACTGGGAGCAGTCGACAAAAAAACAACCAACTCAGTGAAAAAGAACTAGATGTAAGTTTCAGCTCAATACTTTGTCTCTCTGCTCTCATTGTTTCTCTGTCCAGTGGAGGGAGAGCTGCAGCTTTTCACCGTTTAAATGTTCTTCATCCAAAAGAGACAAACTGCTGGAAGAAAATAATTCATCTGACAGCAAAGATGCAGTGGAGTCTGATTCTGCTCTTCCTGATGGGTAAGTTGATCTGAAACACAACTAGACTCTCTGGTTTCTGTTCTAAGACAAACCTTGTGGTATTAAAAGAATAACATTTATCTCTTTCTTAGAACCCATTTTTTGGCATATAATATTTTATGTGAATTATAATTCATGATTAAATACAGCAACATCTTTCATGTTTCAGGTCAGTGTTGCTTCATGGACTGTCAGCTCTATCAGTTTCACTACATTAATGAGAATAAGACCTGGACTGAAGCTCAGCAGTACTGCAGAGAGAAACACACTGACCTGGTCACAGTGACTAACATGAAGGACATGAAGAGACTCATCAACATCTCAACTGGAGAAATGAAGGAAGCTTGGATTGGTCTGTATGATCAAACACATGGTACCAGAACTTGGTACTGGTCTCTGATTGGAGTGAAGTTCAATGAAAGTGAGACAAAGTGGAACGATAACGAACCATCTGATAGAGGAATTCAAGGTTCTGAAAACTGTGGGGCTGTGCATCAAAATCTCACATGGCGAGATCAGGGCTGCAAGTGGCCTGAATATTTCCTCTGCTATGATGGTGAGTATTAAAAAAAAAAAAAAACCACAGTCTAAACTCGAGATTATCTCATAAAACTATCTGTATAAAATATTTTACAAAAGAAGAAAATTAAAGTATCAATTTCACCCAGAAGAAATGGGAACCACTGCTTTCAGTGCATCAGTCAATGAACCTGATTTTATGTTCATCTTAAAAGTCATAAATGGAGATTTACATTTGTCTGTTCACTCCACAGAGACTAATACGACCCTTAAATATCACTTGATTAAGGAGAGGAAGACGTGGCAGGAAGCTCAGAGTTACTGCAGAGAGAAACACACAGACCTGATCAGTGGAACGAAGCAGCTACAGGATGAAGAAGTGAAGAAATTGATGAACTCTTCAGATGGTAGAGCATACACTGGTCTATTCAGAGACAACTGGAGGTGGTCAGATGGAAGCAGTTTCTCTTTCAGACACTGGAATAAAAACTTTAACAATCCAGAATCCATCAATGATCAATGTGCCATGACTGTGTTTGATGATGGAGGCAGATGGAAGAATGTGAGCTGTACTGGAAGAAAACCCTTCATCTGTTATGATGGTGAGTTTTTGCTTCAATAAGACAAAGTATTTAAATCTAAGTGAATATGTAGGAAGAAATAAAAGAGCTTTATTATACTGTTGAAGTCTTTCTCTCATATACTAAATCTCTAAAAATTGTCACATCTACACATAAACTCCATAAAAGATGTAGAAATATGAAACATTTCAGGCCTTTTAAATTGTTCAAGGCTCTGTGTCTTGAGATAAATGAAGCTGTAGTTGCAATGATTTATTGTGTTCATTGCTTCTTGATGCAGATAATGTGATCCTGATCAAAGAAAATAAAACCTGGGAGGACGCCTTGTACTACTGCAGAGATCATCACTATGACCTGGTCACCATCACCAACATGGATGATCAGAGATGGATCCAGGAGAAAGTCAAGGAGGCATCAACTGATTATGTCTGGATGGGTCTGCGTTACACCTGCACTCTGGATTTCTGGTTCTGGGTCAGTGATGAGGTGGTCAGCTATGAGAACTGGGCTTTAGATGGACCGATGGACGACTGTGACATGTCTGGAGCCATGGAGACGAAAAGGATCCAGCAGTGGTTCAAAATGAATGATACTAATGAATTCAATTTCATCTGTTCTAAGACTTAAATCTCCCACTGCCCGCAGCAGCAGGCTGATTATTCTGTTTTCCATAACCAGCAAGACTGTAGGAAACGTCACTGAATGTTTGGAACAAACAAGGAAGTGAGATATGAAGGGGAAAGGTAGCTGCATTTGCATGCATGGAGTTTCCACAGAGGACATGAAGGTTTCTGCTTCACGCATCGTATCATGTTTCATGGCTCATTAACCCATTAATGACCTGAACTGATATTAGCTGCAGATATTGAGAGAAA